CGTGGAGGTAGTGACGTAAAATGACGATACGGGAATCATCCTTTGTAATCGGAATAAATACCCTATATATCTCTTAATGAGAATAAAGCGTATTAATATATAAGTTTTAATAGTAAATAGAATATATATATACATGTAAAGCGACTTAATTACGTAAACGTATCATGCACGAGGTATAGCTGTGTTTTGTTGGCGGGCGGGGCGCGAGGCATATATGGCGGCAGCGGCGTCGGCTGTAGGGATATATAAATGAATATTAACATATACGTATATATAAATAATAATATATATATGTATATATATATTAATATTAGCGGCGATGGTAAGAATATATAATCTTCGCATAATATCGTGGCACATTCGTTGGCGTCGACGACGCGATGTCCGGCGTGATCCTCGGGCGTCAAAAGGTTAGCAGCGTTGATGGCGACGGTGCGCGAGTGGAGATCGGTTTATTCACTTTGACAACAGGAAGAATACTACGGTATCATTAGCGGCGGTACGTCGTCGGCCGTGCGGCACTTGCTGGACTTTGCACCGCGGCGTAAACGCGCGCTGTTGGTCAGTCAAATACTCAAAATTATACAGAAAAAAATTATACAGAAAAATAGTGTAGTCGCCGACTGGCGAGCGGGGTGGGGTGAATGCGCTACGACGGTCTAGTCTCAAGGTCATAGACGACGGGATACGAGACATAATAACACGTGCCGCGTGGAGTTACAAACTAACAACATACAAACAACATACAAACAACATACATGTGAAACTAATAAAAGCGTGTTAAAAAAAAATTCAACTTTGATATTATTTGGATTAAAGTTTTACACTTTTTATAATAACTTTCATTGTAAATTTAGTTTGAATTAACATGATTATTACAAAAAAATGTCACTTATTCAATATGAATATAATATAATGTATATTAAAATAAATATAGTTAAAAAAAATTTAAAAAACACGCTTTTAAAGCACATCGAACTAAAAAGCAGCAGGTGCGCAAATTACCCACTCCCGGAACGTGGAGGTAGTGACCAAAAATGACGAAACGGGAATCATCCCTCGTAATCGGAATGAATATACTTTATATCTCTAAATGAGAATACAGCGTATCAATATATAAATTTTAATAGTAATTAGAATATATATATATATACATGTAAAGCGACTTAAGTACGTAAACGTATCATACACGAGGTGTAGCTGTGTTTTGTTGGCGGAAGAAGCTCGGGGGATAGTTGTACGCGAAACATATGCGGCGGCTGTAGGAATATATACATACATACATATATATAGTAAGGTGACATAAGTACGTAAACGTATGATGCAATAGGTAAAGCCTTGTTTTGTGGGCGGGGGGAATGTTATACCTAAGGTATAAACGGTGGCAGCGGCGTCGGTTTTAGGAATATATAAATGAATATTAACATATACGTATTTATAAATATTAATATATATATATATATGTATATATATTAATATTAACGGTGGCGGTATGAATATATAATCTTCGCATAATATCGCGGCACTTTCGATGGCGTCGACGATGCGATGTCCGGCGTGATCCTCGGGCGTCAAAAGGTTAGCAGCGTTGATGGCGACGGTACAGGAGTGCGGATCAGTTCGTTGACGTTTTCACTTTGACAACGGTAAGAAGACTACGGTATAATTTACGGCGGGACGTCGTCGGGCGTGCGGCACTTGCTGAACTTTGCACCACGGCGTATAACGCGCGGTGTTGGTCAGTCGAATACTTAGAGTAGAGCGACGGCTGATAAAGGTGGCACGAGTCGTGGGGCATCGTGTATTTTGAAGCGACGCGGGGTCGTGTCAGTCAAAATAAAAATTTATATATATATATAAATTGTTATTATATTATAATTGATGACACTTGCGCGTCTACGGGTTGGAAAATATTGTTGTCGCCGAGTGGAGAGCAGGGTAGGGCGAATGCGTTACGACCGTCTAGTCTCAAAGCCGTAGACACGTGCGCGTGGAAAGTTACAAACAACTCACAACAAACATACATGTGAAACTAATATAAGCGTGTTAAAAATGAATAATTGCTCATAAATAATTTGAAAAGATAAAATCAAGTTAATTTTTTTTGTAATGGAAAAACACAGAAAATATATTATTCTCTCATATTAAATATTTTTTTAATAGTTTTTCAAATTTTGAGCATTTATATACTTCTTACTAACAATTATGTTGATTTTTAATTGCTTAAAATTTTAGGAATGTTCTTAAAAATGTTCTATTTGTGCACTGTATAACCATAATTGTGCAATAAACTTAAAAAAGCTTTGTTTTTTTACTTAATTTTAGAAACCTTGTAGCAAATATTAACCTTNTGTGCAATAAACTTAAAAAAGCTTTGTTTTTTTACTTAATTTTAGAAACCTTGTAGCAAATATTAACCTTTCTTATCAATCTCAAATTTGGCAAGTTTATTTTTATAATTATTAGAATGCACTCTGCATATATAAGTAGTAAAACATATGAATATGATCTAAAAACAGAAACTTGTATAAAAGGACTACCCTAGTACTTAGTTAAGTAAATTAATATCCTGAATTTCATTGATATCGGGACAGTCCAAATTACAATCTTATTAAAATACAAGTGAAATGATTAACATAGCGAGATACCATAATTTTCCAACAAATTCCCAAAATATTGTACTAATCTTTTATAGCTAAATATTATTTCAGTAATTATAATTTTTGATATTAATTATTAATATCCGAATAATTATCATAATGAAGTGATTAGGTCGAAAGCGAATAAAACAATATTTAGACCAAAAATATTATAATTACATTAAATAATAAAAATTAAAAAAATAAATAAAATATTTTACACCAGTATAAAAAAATATTTTAATTATCCCATAAAGTAAATATTTTAGGACATTTTGAATACATAGTGACATCTTTTGATATTTTAATAATTCATTGAAGTTGAGCTTAAAACCTAGATGTCGCTAAAAAATTATTTCAAATATTTTTAATTTGGGATAAATCGTAAATTACTTTTTTTTATTTCATTTTATTTAAACTAATTTAATATTTTGATACTCAACAATTAGAAACATTTTTTTCGTTATTTTGATGATAAAAAATATTTTAATAAGGTGAATCGAAAAATGATTTTAAAATATTTTTAAACCATTAAAATGGTTTATTAGTGGAAAAAAAAATTATTATTTTTTATTTGTTTATATTGGTCCTAGTGAGTAATTAAAGGAATATATATATTAAAAACGCGTAAAATTATAAATACTTCTATCTATACTTTTCACAACACGATTAAAAGCTATGAATAATGAAAATCATTTCAAATGTTTAATTATAGCTACTAATTTAATTATAACTTATATTATAATTAAAAAATACAATGCAATTAATTTAATTTTTCTATAAATTTTAATAAGTACTAAAGTCCATTAACTTAAAAATAATGCACATTTTAAATTTGATTTGATTAATTTAGTTTAAGTAGCATGAATTTAATGACCGAGATCATTACAACGAACATCACTTTATTGCCATAAAATATCTGAACATTGCATGGATTTTAATATCATCACATCATATTATGATGTTCATGCTTTGAGATATCACATTTATTGATCTTATCACAGTGAAAAACCCGGCTACTACTTGTAATATCCTTAATATTTGTAGTAAAAATAAATTAGTCTGAATTAATTAAATCAAAATTGACCCGAAGGAAAAAATGCACAAATAGTCTTTTCAGGTATTTATTGATATATTTTTAATCCATAGTTAATAGTAAGGTCTCCTAATAAACTATTACAATACTTATAATATATAAAACGTAAGTCCTCTTTTAATTTTGATTCTTTCCTTTATAAGGCTCCTAATATTGTATATTTAACATAATTAATCGTTCAGAATCTTCAATGGCACTTTTATACATTGAACTCAACAAACATATACTTCTTAAAAGTATTTTTAACTTTCATCGCAATTGTATTTGGGCTATTCAATTCCGTTCACTCACAATGCCAAGAATGAAGATAAGTTGATATGTACAAGTCCGATACCACTTCTTATGCTCTTTATCGAGCGAGATGTTAACTTTTCATGTAAATTTCTGAATTTAGCTACCCAATATAGTATATGCTCAGTGTAAATATTGCAAACATTAAATTTGGAAAAAATTAATTGTTTTAATGATGTTTTAATTTAATTGAAATTTAAAAAAAACTAGTGATATTCGAACCAAATCAAACATCTTAAGTTTAAAAATCAAACTTAAAATTTTTAAAAATTAAATCGAACTTTTTCATTGAAAACAGTTTGATAATTGAACACGTATAATCAGATATCGAACTAAATTTGTAGAATAATGATAAAAAAAATGATTTACCAGACAATGATTAAAATTAATATTTGGTGCGGGTTTAAAAAAGTTCAGATACAATTAAAAAATTGAAAGTTTGGTTTAAGTTAAACCCTAAATATCAGCATTAAAAAACTTTAAGGCATACTCAGCCATAATGTGATTGCGTGAGGTAATTTTAAATTTATTAATTATTATTATCGATGCTAGTTAAATGTGAATATTTAACTAGCTATGAGACTATTTACTATTACAATATTATATTTTATTTTGCGTACGCGTATTATAAATTAATAATACATACGTTTAATTAAAACTAAGATTTTGTACGAACCATATTATCATAAATAAAATTCAAAATTTTTATGATCATTAAATAGTTATTTTCTTCAACTGAATAAATTTTTATTTTTATTTCACAAAACAATTGTCCTATAAAAATCAACAGGATTCCCCACTAAACATAATATGCGCTTTTAAAAAGCTCTAGTACACTTTATGAGAATTTAACTGTAAGACTTATATTTTTAATACGTAATAAGAAATTTAATTGTTTTGTTCTGAAATAGAAAATTTAATATTTTAATAATTAAAATTTTAATTATTAAAAATAAAATAATTGCTAAAGTATGTTAAATAAAGAAAATATTGTATGCGTTTATTTATCATCAATCATAGTTAATTACAATTAAGTGAAATTATTTCATTTATTTTTACACTTTGTTTTCAGATTAATATCAGAAGAAAATGTTAAAATTATCATATTTTTCATTTTTGTAAGTATAGTATATTCGGTGCATTTTATTTTATTAATTAACATTTAGTACTTGAATTGAGCAGGAACGCATAAGAATGGAACTTCTCTTCTAAAATGATAAAAATTCGTTATTTAAAAAATACTTAGTATATGAAATAACTACAGATGTCTTTTAGATATTATATAATTGTTTAAACTATTTAGAATAGTGTAAACAGACTGTACAAGTTGAAATGTGTATGCTTCTGTATTTGTATTAATAAAGTTTTTTACTTATTCATTTTTGAATTGTTTATATTAAAATTTCGCTCGTTTCCTGTAAATTAGGGAAATCATCCAAAAAATTACATTTTTTTTGGGTAAATTTCGACATTTTCTTAACTTAATATGATATACTACATCAAAAATTCTTACTTTGGATATTCTTTTATGCAATTTAATAAAAAACCTAAGTACAGGAAGGGTTTGAAAATTAAACCACCCATGTATGTTTAAATTATTCCTTTCTTATACAATTTTTAGAAATATCCTGAAACGACTGCATGCAATAAAGCTATATAAAATTAAAGATTTTGAAATATGCTCTAAGATTAAAAAAAAATTTGTCCCAGCGACTGATCCAATATGAAAAATTAGACGTAAAGTAAAAAATATATATTTATTTAAAGTATTTTTTTTTTTTATTTTAACATTTCCACAGATAATAGTAGTATATGACTAATTTTTATATTAAAATATGCAGAAAATCGTTTATAAACAGTTATAATATTGTTTTGTGTATGCAGCTCAAATATTTTAAAAAACTCAAAAAGATTACTCAAATAGGTTAAATATGATAATTGGAATCGAGATTTCGCACAGATTATTTTTAACAAATTAATAATCCAAATGTATTATACTTAGAAAAAATAATTTTTTTTTTGTATTTGAATAATTTCTCTTTATTTAAAAATTCGTTTATTACTAATGAGCAAATACCTTAAAAATTAGAGATGATACAAAAATTATTGTGTTATAAGTTTTAAACAATTTGTTTAAAGGAAATGTTATTACCGATTGGCCAATCAAATATTTAACCAATGTGATTGTAACCAATTGTACAATTAGGTAAGAAATTATATTACATATTATATTCAATTCATATTACTATTATTGTTTATCTAATTAGTTATTAATTTTTTTTTTTTTTTATTAGACATAAAATACCACGGCAGTTCTGGCCATTGGTCTGTTAGTAAATTACATTATTATTATTATTACAATTTTTGCATAACATTTATACATATTATATATATTATATATACAAGTTATATTTCTTTATATAAAGTGGATTTTTTAAGAAAATAAGTAATTTTTGAATTACGATTGATTCAGGACTGAGTTATTAATTATTATACTGTGCAATAGTTGAATAGGACTTATTTATTTATATATTGAATCCCTTCCCTTTCAAAAAAAAAAAAAATATATATATATACAGTCCACTGCAAAGAAAGGTGTCGCGTATGCACATTAATATTATTTTTCCGCGCCCTAATACACATTTTGAAAAGATTGATGGTCATTAGAAGTAATTATTGTTCTTAGATGTCTTGTCAGTTGCTATTTAATACTGAAACAAGCAACACGTTTGTTTCGCTCTCGCTTCTGAGTTAAACGTGTAGTGTCTGTTATAAAAATTTGTTTATAAATTGTTCACAATGCATGCCGTGGACATTCGGACGACTGGTAAGTTAATCATTAAGTGGGTCGCACTTGCGACAGATCATATTTTAACAAATGGAATTAACAATGGATAGCGACGGCAATTCAACGTATATTTACATAACTATCAGTTCAAGTATTTTACAATAAATGCAAGTTGATAATGAAATAAAAAAACAAGTCGCGGAACTGCGAGAGAGCAATGAAAAATTACAAAAAAAACTTTTTGAAATGAATCAAGGAGCCTCTGGTGTAATAATGAGCTCACCTAAGAAAACGATTCAATTATCAAAGGAAATCGTGAGTATTTCCGCCAAAACTCGTAAACCACCACCCATAATAGTATGTGGTGTTACCGACGTAAAAAAGTTTATTAGCAACTTCACATTAGAAGAGGCTAAGGATAATGAACAACTTGTCAGAACCTTAGCTAATAGTATAAATTTTTTAACGAATGACGAACATCAGTTTCGTCGAACAGTGAAAATTTTAGAAAAGCAAAATATTGAATACCATCGATACCAGCTTAAAACTGAAAATATTTTTAAAGCTGTGATTAGAGGTTTACATTCTCAGACGGACATTTGTGATATTAAAAAAGAGTTGGCTGACTTAGGTCACCTGGTTCATAATATTACAAATGTTCAAATAAAAAAGAAAAAAGATCAAAATAACAAAGCAATGATTGGATACACATTAGACTGCCATTGTTTTTTGTGGAGTTAGAACCACAAACAAACAATAAAGATATCTTTCAGGTAGATAATTTGTGCCATCGCAAAATTCCAGTGGAGCACCAGAGAAATAAAAATAAAGAAGTACCACAGTGTAAAAACTGTCAAGCTTTTAACCACACACAAAACTATTGCCAGAAAACTCCAATATGTGCAAACTGTGGTGAAAATCATACAGCCAATTGGAAAGGCTGTTCGGCTTATAAAGCAGCTGAAGCAAAAGCTAATCCAAAAAAGGTGACTGCTGTCCAACACATATAGTCGAAGCGTATACAAATTTAAAAAGTGGTATTTCTTACGCACAATTAACCAAAACAAATACCGAGACAGAGGTCGAAACTAGAACAGCATTACAAGCTGAGCCATCACTTTGCGATGTATTATTAGACTTGAATAGTGTTACTCAAACATTAGCCAAACTAACATTAAACGTTGATAAATTGAAAAATAATCAGCCTAAATCTACTAAAAAACAAAAAGTGACTAAGAAAAACAAAAAATGAGCAATTCGTTAAGAATAATAACCTGGAATGCCAATGGGCTTGTTCAACAAAAAAAAGAACTAGAAACATTTTTATACAACGAAAAAATAGATATAGCTCTTATATCAGAAACTCATTTTACTGGATGGTCATTTATAAAAAATTATGGTTATAGGTCATACACAACACAACACCATTGTGGTAGAGCACGGGGTNACAACACAACACCCGAGTGGTAGAGCACGGGGGGGTACAGCAATAATCATAAAAGAATCTATTAAACACTTTGAACTTGAAAAATTTCAGCACGAAGCAATTCAAGCTACTAATGTTTGTATTAATGACGGGCGTAATAATATAACAGTCTCAGCAGTATATTGTCGTCCTTGAAGACAAATAACTAAAGAAAATTTTATTAGTTTGTTCTGAGCCCTAGGTGACTAATTCATCGCAGGTGGTGATTTCAATTGTAAGCACCGCTTTTGGGGTAGCGATAATAGTACCAGTAGAGGTAAGCAACTCTATGAAGANACCAGTAGAGGTAAGCAGCTCTATGAAGCCGGCATTGAAATTAATGCAGAATATCTAACAACTTGTAAGCCAACATACTGGCCTAATAATCAAACGAAAAGACCTAGTATGCTTGATATATTTGTACTTAAAGGCGTGAACTCGAATTATACCAATATTGCAGGAATACCTGACTTAACGTCAGACCATATACCAGTGCTCTTAATACTAAGTTCGCACGTAATAAAAAAACAAAGACGTCCTGTGCTCATAAATAAACACACAAATTGAGAAGCTTTTCGTGACCATTTAGACATAAGAATTGACTTGTCAGTTAAACTCAAATTTACAAGTGACATAGAGATAGCTGTACAGAATTTAACAGATAACATAATTATAGCTGCTGAACAATCTACACGTAATAATGAAGTTATGTTCGAAAAAGAAAAGACTTATCCTTTAGAGATAAGAAACTTAATTCAACTTAAAAGAAGAGCAAGGAAAAAATGGCATCGAACACAAAATCCAGTAGACCGCTTTTGTCTACTGGAATCGACTCAACAAAATCCTAAAAGAAAAAATGTTCTCAATAAAAAATGATACTGTTAAAGCATATATAGATAACTTATCTGCAACAGAAAATACAGACTACTTGTTATGGAAAGCAACCAGTCGTATTAAAAGACCTTAAGTATATGTGCCACCAATTTTAAAGGATGATGGTACATGGGCTCGAAGCGAACAGGAAATATCTGAAACTTTTGCAAGTTACTTGGAATGTGTATTTCAACCTAACAACATACAATCTGACCTAAACACGACGTACTTAAACTGCGGTACCACTGATCAAACTACAGATCGCGTTAAATATTTCACGCCTCTTAAAGTTGCAAATGAGATAGAAAAAAACCTTAACTCTAAAAAGTTTCCGGGTTATGATAGGATAAGTCCGCGTATATTTAAAGAATTATCTTGCAAAGCAATCATCTTATTAACTTACATATTTAATGCCTACTTACGTATAGAATATGTACCTGTAAATTGGAAAAAAGCCCTAGTCATCATGTTATTAAAACCAGGAAAGCTGGCTGAGAGTACTAGATCCTACAGGCCGATATTACTTTTTCCTACAATATCGAAACTTTTCGAAAAACTACTTTACATTAGATTGAATCCTATTATTCAAGAACGTCAACTAATTCTTAACCACCAGTTTGGATTTCATACTAAACATTCCACCATAGATCAAGTACATCGCGTTACAAACGTAATTAGTAGAGCTATGGAGGAAAAAAAGTATTGCTGTGGCGTTTTTTTCGACGTTTCTCAGGCCTTTGACCGCGTTTGGCATGAAGGCTTACTATATAAATTGAAAAAGCAGATGCCTCGTATATGGTTTGGACTACTAGATTCATACATAGTAGAAAGAAAGTTTCGGGTAAGTCACGAAGAAATTGTATCTGATTGGAAAGGTATTAAAGCAACCTCAATGTAGTGTCCTCGGGCCTATACTTTATCTACTTTATACATCTGATATTCCTACCTACAATAAAACAAAAACAGCTATGTTTGCTGATGACACAGCTATATTGTCATGTGATAAAGACCTTTCGATCGCCACAAAAAATTTGCAAATAAATGTTGATAGTATCCTTACATGGACAAAAAGATGGAAGATGCTATTATATAGTTCAAAATCAGTACACGTGATCTTTACAAATAGATTAATAAAGCCCAACCCGATAATGCTTCATGGTAAATTAATCCCTCAAGAAAATTCGGCAAAATATCTAAGTATGCATTTAGACTCTAAATGAAACTGGAGTATACACATTAAAATGAAATTAAAACAAATAAAACAAAAAAGAAGTAATATGTATTGGTTAATTGGCCGAAGATCAGAATTATCAATAGAAAATAAAAGATTACTTTACGTGTCTATCTTAAAACCAATATGGACTTACGGCTTTCAACTATGGGACTTCACTAGCAAGTTTTGGATTGATAAAATTCAAACTATGCAAAACATTACTCTCCGTACTATTATCAATGCGTACATGTACGAAAAAACTGACAATATTCATATTTATATAATGATACCAACAGTCAGAGAAGAAATTCAACGGTATGCCAGGGCACATGAAAATCGTCTGAAGACCCACATCAACAAAGCTGCTGCTCAACTGCTTGATTACTCACAAGATGTTAAAAGATTAAAACAAAATAAACCATACGACTTATTTTAAATATATATTATTTAATGTAAATTTACTTAAGTTTGGAGACTCTTCACTGGAAGTTTCTCTTCATTGTATATAATATCTTAACTATACATTTTATGTAATTTTAGATGTAAACGTTTGTAAAAAATTTTGATTAAGACTGCAAGGTCGTCTCAAATATATATTACATGTAATAAAAATAAAGAAGATGTCTTGTGTTCCATACTTTAACATATATTGGCTATGTTAAGTTTTACTCAATTGATCTATTTTTCGTACAGCTCGAATATTACATATTAGTATTAATTTGTGTCATTGTCACATTTAGAGTTCATTTTATGAAAGTACCTGACTTCAATCATCGAAGTTATAGTGTGGTGTATTTGTATTTAATAGAATTGAAAGTTATTTAAATTGTTAATAACAATTGTCTATATTTAAATATGGCAATAGTGCACTATTTCCATGGTGGTTCACTGATCTTGAAAATTATTACAATTCTTAGTGAATTTGTAATGTGACAAAAGATACCTCTTCATTTTGGTTGAGTCGAATGTGTGCTGCGACGGCGTTTATCATTCAAATAATCACAATAAGGTGTTGTGTTTTTTTTTGTGAGCATGCGAGACCACATGTGTACTATTTCAGACCAGTTTGTGGGCGGCATTTGTGTGTACACTCACCACACTCCTTTCCTATCTTGAACGTCATTTAAAATGCTAACCACCTACATTGTCTCCTTATGATATTTTCTGATTCGAATTGTTCTTAACAATTTCCGGCACTGGGTAGTAAAATTTGTTGATCCCTATTCGTAAGGCTAGCCGGGTGTCTCCATCGGACCACCGAATCAAAAGTCAGACGGTTTGGTCGGAAATTAGCCATCGTCGGAACTGGTACCCTAATTTTCGTCCGTAACGTGAATTTTTTTTTGTTGGGTGCGTTGCAACAATTTGTGTTTTTTTTAGGTATTTTACGTTAGTGTCCGCTACCGTAGTATAATGTAATATTTTTGTATTTTGCCGTCGGTTGAACCTGTCTCCAGTTTCTGGAGTTTAAGTCATTATTTTTATTTGCAGTTGCAAAAACCAAATTTTATTGTTTAAGTTATGACAGGAAAAATTAGTTTTAAAAATTTACTACCCACTAAATGAGTGATAACAATAATAGATTCAAACCGGGTTTTCGGTGTATTATTAATAGCTAAGTCTATGTTTTTGTAAGACTAAAGGTTCTAACAAAATTACCGGTTGCACTGCCACCGATATTAAGAAACGTAATAAATGACCATTTATTTTCTGGTAGTCAAAATCTTTAAATAATTATAAAACGTAAACGGTTGTTCGGATAAAAAAAATTATAAGAACAAAATTGTTTGTAATTTTTTTTCTATCATATTATCAAATCAAAAATAGTGGTTTCCATTAAAAAAAATTATAAAGAAACATTTTTATCCCTGAAGGGATAAACAAAAAATTTATTGATCTTCATATTATTGAGTAAAATTAAAACTATATTAAAAATATTATTAATTTAAAAAACTAAAAAATATTAAAAATATTAAACTCAAAGCCACAAAAAAAATTAATGAAATTTTTTAATTTTAATTAATTTCATTAATTTTTTTTGTGGCTTTGAGTTTAATATTTTTAATATTTTTTAGTTTTTTAAATTAATAATATTTTTAATATAGTTTTAATTTTACTTAATTAATTAGCCACAAGTGATCAATTTTTATTATATTCATATTATTGTAGAGTTTTATAAACTTAATAATTTTTCATTTTACAAAAATTTTAAATTCTCAATAGTTATGAATGTGTTAAAGCTTTCATGGATTGTCTTGTTGCATGAAGTGCTTGAGGATATATCCATGTTTGCAGTTGAGTTTTGACGTTTCGGATTCATTGCAGAGTCCATCTTCAGAGTCATGGTTGCTATCAATATAGTTGTAGCCACCGACTAGCAACCATCACTCTAAAGATGGACTCTGCAATGAATTCTATACGTCACAACTCAACTGCAAACATGGATATATTTTCAATAGTTTTTGAGAAAATAAGTGTCTTACGAGATTTCGATCACCTGTATATTTTTTACTAATAGTACGTAAAAGTAGCTTTAATTTTATATATGTTTAACGGACGCAGTATTTCCGGATCATTTTCAAAAGTTAAGTTGAATAAATTTTTATTTTGGGATAAGTTGTTACTTTGAATCCGCCTCTGTGGGCAGGTAAAAGGTTGAATGTTCTCAAAAATATATTAAATAATAGGGAAATACCTGAGGTATTTATAAAAAAAAAACTATTTAAATTTGTTTATTTTTCAACAAGTTATGGCAGTTTTAAAAAAGTAAAGTATAAAATATGTCGAAAATTTACCGATTTTAAAAATAGTAATTTTTTTGGGAATTTTCTCCTTTTTCTAGAGAACAAGGGAATTTTTTTCAATTTTCAAGAACAATTTCTTCAATTAAATTCGATTTGTGATCTTTTGATTTATGGTTGAAAGAAATCGGTCTGGTGAATGTTGAGAAAAAGTGGCGACAGACATAAAAAAAAAACACATCATAGTAAAATTAATACCTTTTCAGTTTCACCTTGGATCTAATGAGCCAAATATAGCTTCCAATGTTTTATCATTATCACATATATCCCAAAGATATTCGGTATATAACATCGTGAATATGTTTCTGAATGCTAAGAAAAAATAAACAAAAATATTATTAATTCATTAAAAGTAAATAGATGTCAGTTATTTTTTTAATATTGGAATAATTCAACTTGATACAATAACTTTTTATCAATTAATTTTTTTCCATAATCTTTATAATTTAAAATGATTATAGATAATAATAAAAATAAGCGTATTTATTGGCTATTTTTATTTTTTTTAAATATTTTAGCTATATGACTTTGCTTTTCTGGTTAACGAATCAAAAGTTATTTAAATAAAAAAAAAAACGTATAATTTTATTTTTATTTTAATTAATTTTTACTAAATTAAAAATTAATTTTATATCAAGTAAAATTAGAAATTCCTATTAAATATTAAGAGCTAAGAAGATCTACTCGTAAAAGTGAAATTTAATAACATTTAATGGCATATGGGAATCTATTGCAAATGGTTCCATTTCTTTGGCTATATTAAATTCATTAAATTAAGATGCTATTCGCCATTCCGACGACAGATTAACCATTAACCTTGGATTTATGAAAACATTTTGAAATACACTAAATTGGCCTTAGATGGGTAGTATAAAGTCTAAATGTCTAAAAAATTGTATGTAATATTTATATTACCTAGAACGCTGATATCTTGTACGTCTGTTCTTTGAATATTTATTAATTCAATAACTCTTTGATCTGTGATATCTGTGAATCTAGCTTCGTATAAAGCTCTTTTTAATGCTGCTATAGTCATCTTATTATTGTAGAGAAATTTTTCATAAAATTGTACTATTCGAGATTCAATTCTTTTTACCACACGTGTCGCTTGTTTTAAAAATTGATTCTCGTCCATTACTCCGTCTACTTTTGAAGTAAAAATTATGTGTTATCAATTAATTTTTATTTAAAAGTAAAGTGGTAATATCAATAAATTTATTAGTAATAATCACTGACCGACATTTAAATATCAATTAATATAATTTATTTATTATAATATTAAAAGTAATAATTTATACCAGAAATAGTTTTTTATATTACTTGAAAATCTAATAATACTTTCTAAGATGTTTAAATTATTATATTGATTCAATTTTATAAACAAAGTTATTTTTTTATCATTACCCACTCAATTATTTACAGAATAAATATAATTCAAACATTTTTTTTTTAGTTATCTTTAATTACACATTTTTCTTAAATTATTAACTATGTGAGACTTTTTAAGTTCATCTTTTATGCCTTGTAAGAAAGTCAACTTTTTATTTTTTAAATGGGAACTCATTTTGAATTTAATAAAATATTTGGGTTTTAATTTAATAGTAAATGACATTTGAATCTTTATTACAACTTTATTAGTTTATTATATATATATATATATAATAATTAATTAAAAGAGTTTAATTAATTGGAATATTGGTCCACTGAAAAATTCATAATTAAACTTGTGTAAACTGGCTGAATGTAATAACATTACTTAATGATGACGTCACTAGGGGTATATTAGGGAGATTTTTTCTAGTCGGGTGTCAGTATGTGTTTAGCGTTGATAATGGTAACATTGTTTCCGAAATACGTATCCGCGACTTTTCAGTAATTTTTTGTGACTTTTGAGTTTAATATTTTTATTATTTTTTAGTTTTTAAATTAATAATATTTTTAATATAGTTATAATTTTATTTAATCAATTAGCCACAAGTGATTAATTTTTATTATACAGGGTGATTTTTTTATCATAACCCACTCAATTACTTACAGAATAATAATAATTTAGACATTTTTTTTTTTCATTATTTTTAGTTACACATTATTCTTGAATTTTTAACTATGTAATACTTTTTAAGTTCATCCCTTATGCCTTGGAAGGGGGTCAACTTTGTTTTTTTAAATGGTAACACATATTTTTAATTTAATAAAATGTTTGAGTTTTTAATTTAATAGTAAATGGCATTTGAATTTTTAATATAACTTAATTCGTTTATTAGATATAATCATTTAAAGTTTCAAATTTTTGAATTAATATACAGGTATAATACACAAGGGATTACAAATACAGGTAGCTAATTGGTTTTTTATAACATCGATATTAGCAGGTACACAGCGTTGTTATTATCAATTGTAGTAAGACACATTGTTATGAGTATATAAATACATTAACTGACAATACAAAAAGTATATATATTGATAGTTATAATTGATAATAAACAATCCGTGACTGTGACAGCAATGTCATAAAAAACCAATTAGCTACCTATATTTGTAATCCCTTGAGTATTATACCTGTATATTAACTCAAAAATTTGAAACTTTAAATGATTATATCTAATAAACAAATTAAGTTATATTAAAAATTCAAATGCCATTTANACTAATAAAGTTATATTAAAAATTCAAATGCTATTTACTATTAAATTAAAAACTCAAACATTTTATTAAATTAAAAATATGTATTACAATTTAAAAAAACAAAGTTTACCCCCCTCCAAGGCATAAGGGATGAACTTAAAAAGTATTACATAGTTAAAAATTCAAGAATAATGTGTAACTAAAAATAATAAAAAAAAAAAATGTTTAAATTATTATTATTCTGTAAGTAATTGAGTGGGTTATGATAAAAAAATCACCCTGTATATATAAGCATTTAAATTTTTAACTTTTTGAGTTAATATACATGTATATTAACTCGTAATATACATGTAATACTCGAATGATTACAAATACAAGTAGCTAATTGGTTTTTTATGACATCACTTTCACAGACATGGTGTATTTATTGTCAATCATGACTATCAATCAATGGTAGTTTGTGGGTGCAGTTGGTGGGGGTGTGATTTTAAATATAATACCACTTGTCATAGCTATAAAATATTGTCAAACTAAATATAATAAAATAAAACACAATACACGTATTATTATTTTAAAGACCTCAGTAGAAAATAGAAATGAAAATAATAAATAAGCGATTATACTATTATTGCAAACGATATCAACTAGTGTACAAGTAATAATTTTTAAAATAAATTACTCAATATAGTATTATACTAATATTTTACTGTATGGACGATGCTGCCGGCCGTCCAAACCCTGCTCATGTGTGTATGCGTACCCGCATATTCCAAGGGAAACAACTTTAATGTTCACTCACGACATTTGTATTATAACTATTTAACTATTTAAATAGTTGCATTTAGAATTAAGAATATACAATTAATTTCCTTCTATTAATTAATTATAGTGGATGTTACGATTGTTCCGTCGTCAAAGACACGAGCCGCCACTGCTATCAATAGGTATAATTTTTGTATTGCCAGTTAGTGTATTTATAAACTCACAATAATGTGCCTTACTGTCATTGATAAAAAATTCTGTTTGCCTGCAAATATCGATGTTGTAAAAACCCCATTAACTACTTGTATTTATTTGTAATCATTCGTATTTTATACATGTATATGAACTTAAAAATGTGAAACTTTAAATGCTTATATCTAATAAACTAATAAGATTATATTAAACATTTAAAATACGTTTAATATTAAATTAAAAACTCAAACATTTTATTTATTATTTTCAAAATAAGCGTTCACGTTTAAAAAAACCAAGCTGACACTATTACAAGGCATAAGGGATGAACTTAAAAAGTATCACATAGTTTATAATTCAAGAAAAATGTGTCACTAAATATAACAAAAAAAAAAAAATGTTAAAATTATATTTATTCTATAAGTCATTGTGTGGGAGTCATTTGGTTACGATAAAAAAACCACTTTGTATACGAATTATTAGTTTGAAGCGATTATAATAAAATATTTCGACTTTATACAACAATAAAGAGATAACCTAAGTCATTTCTTTTTTATACCGCAGATGCAATCACTTTTGAAAAAGGTAAAAATAAAAAATGGGACGCAATAGGAAAACTACCATTTTTTCCACAGGCCCAAATATAGAGTGTTTTAGATTCCATGGAATCCTGCAAATGTAAATAACTCTTATAAAAATATCAAACATTACATTTATCGTTATATAAAAATATTTTTATTAAGGTGGGAAATTACAATTAGCACTTGAAATATATAACTATTTAACACAACACTTTGACACTGTATCTCTTTCATAAAATTTACTTACTCTATAACATGAAATTATTATTTGTAATAATTACATTTGTTAAGGTTCCAACAATTTTATAATTTTTTCGAATTCTACGAGGTCCTTTTGAAAAAAAATAGTCCTCAATTATAATAGTTGTTGCACTAAAGTATTTTTTTGTTCTAACTATTGTAAAAATAATCTTTATGAATATGTTTAATGATATTTAGACGTAGTTACTTGAGATCAATATCTGCCTGATTTGTATTAATTAAATTGTATGGTAACACCTTTAATGTTATTGATTGGTAGCTAGCGATATTTAAAATAAAACTAAAAAACTATATTTTTTTAAATAATTTAGACTATTTTGATTATGTATAAATTTCACATTTTACATACGAATAAAAACTTAAGATACGCAGGCATACCATTCGACGTTCGGATTACGACTAAGTCACAACTAAAAAAGCTACGTTTACTCGATAACAAGAAAAAAAATAATTAAAAATAGATAGATGAGTGAACATTCTAATCCAGATATTATTTTTAAGAAAAAAATTAAGGTTTAAAAATGACATCCATTAATTTATGTTGCTTTTTTGGACTAACTCTTCAAAGCATGTTCGTAATGTCTAAAAATGTTTGTTAATATATTTATTTGTATCATTCAAAATACATGAAGAATATTATCTGGATCTGGGTATTTTCGAATAGAATTTATTACTAATTATCTCCATAAAAGAAAATTTAGAAGCTGGTGATAAATTATTGAAAGCCAGACAATTTTAAAATAATGTGAAATGATATGATAGCAAAATTTTATTTGAAAGGCGACCATGAATAAAATCACGATTTCAATAACGGAATATAAGAGATCCTCATTTGAAATAAGCTGCGTTGAACCTTGTCTTATGTTTAAATTTGATAACTATATTTTATTGTGGATTGAAAATCGAGCCTTAGGGGTTGTTATTCAGTTTTTTGAACTTAACAGAAAATCTATTAAACTTACAATAAAAGTTAATAGAACTTAATTTGTAGACCTGAATATTTACTATAAAAAATACATTTATGTTTTTTTATCAAAAAGTTAATACTTTTCCGTAAAAATTAAAATAATCTATTTATTGTTTACTGTTATTTTTTTTTCTTTAAGTATAAAAATATTTCACCAACTGTTCGTCACAAAATAAAATGTTTCATACAAAAGTTACTTGAAATTAAATTTGATAAATTTAACATAATATATTTTTTTTAATATTTTAATATTTTTACTGAGTGGTTGAAGTTTCATCAAATTTTTCCTTTAAAATTGGTTTTAGTAATATTTCTTAAAAAAACTCATATTATATTTCACGTTAGTGCAATTATATATCGATGTATTAGAATTTGTGGCGCATAAAATCAAATATAAGTTTACCCGTACTGTTCTAAATGCTATACTTATTATTTTGAACGTGCGGAATTTACTGTGATTGTCCATAGACGATAAGAATTGTGGCATTATTGTTGTTTGTGTAGTAATAAGTAACGATAAAAGTTCTTTCCAATAATCATTTTTCATGAACTAATATCAAATATTTTCTTGTCATTTAGTTTTATATTTATTATTGTGTAAAGTTTTAAGATTTTTTATAATAATAGTTTAGTGATACAGTTTTTTTGAAATTTTATTTTATTTAAATATGTCACGTAACTAAGTATATTTAGTAGGAACAATGAATTATCAAATTACTGGAAGTAAATTACCTTCAGTTTGAAATGTTTTGAGTGTATTATAATATAAGAGTTGTAAAATTGAATTT